TAGCATTGGTTAGCAGCGGTTGTAACTGGTTAGCATTGGTTAGCAGCGGTTGTAACTGGTTAGCATTGGTTAGCAGCGGTTGTAACTGGTTAGCATTGCTTAGCAGCGGTTGTAACTGGTTAGCAATGCTTAGTATTGGTTAGCAGCGGTTATAACTGTTTAGTATTGTTTAGCATTGGTTAGCAGCGGTTATAACTGGTTAGCATTGTTTAGCATTGGTTAGCAGCGGTTATAACTGGTTAACATTGTTTAGCATTGGTTAGCAGCGGTTGTAACTGGTTAACATTTCTTAGCAGCGGTTGTAACTGGTTAACATGGCTTAGCATTGGTTAGCAGCGGTTGTAACTGGTTAGCATTGGTTAGCAGCGGTTAAACTGGTTAGCATTGCTTAGCATTGGTTAGTAGCGGTTATAACTGACTAGCCTTGTTTAGCATTCGCTATGACTGTTCCCATTTGGTTATTATTGCTTGGCAATAGTGTTAGATTGGTGGCAGGTTAGCACTAGACCTATGCTAATTATGTCTTATGCTGTTATAAGGATTCTGTAAGGGTACGTATGCAGATACCACGGTCATGATATAGCACGTTAGTAAGCTATATAGAAGCAGGAGTTAATAATGACAAATATGACAAATTTGTCATTATTAACCCTTATAGTAGTTATAGTAGTAGCGTTATAGTAGCGTTAGTAATAATAATAATAAATAATAATAATAATAATAATAATAATAATAATAATAATAATAATAATAATAATAATAATAATAATAATAATAATAATAATAATATAAGTGCGGGTTTAGAAGTTAGTGTGGATGACTACTGGGCGGAGGAGACACTGTATTTTTACCATACCACATTCATACCCAGGGCCGTAGGCTGAGCAAATTCCTAGGGGGCAGTGGCGGATCCAGGATTTCAAGGAAGGGGTGAAAAACAGGTGGGGGTCTGGGAGTCCTTCCAGAGAAAATTTTGAAAATGTAGATCGCAGGAGATGGTATTTGCGGCACTTTTGAGTACATGTACAGCCTTCATTCTGACTACGACTCTTTTAGTAGAACAATTAATTTTTTTTATTTTGCTCCAAAATCTAGAGAGGGCGCAGCTGCCCCCCCCGCAGGCTACGGCCCTGAATTACCGTAGCTAAACAACAGGGGCGCGGGAAATCGGGCGCGTATTATACTAATGCTGTCGCAACCGCATTTTCTAACCGAATCATATATTATAACGAACGACGGCTGTATCGTCGGAATTGTTAACGTTTGCAAGTTTGAGCGATATCTGATCTAATAAAGCTGACTATTGTGAGCTGTCGCGCTTGCTAACGTAATCAACTTGATTTCAAAAGCGAAAACGTCGTCAAAAACAGCTTTACAATACTGCAGACATAGCAGATGTTTTGAGAGAGAAAAAAACGAGAAAGAAATTATGGGATACATGCAGAGACCGGTGGGCGCGTGCAGGGTCGCACGAAGCACATGTTGGCTACATGCATTAATCGATACAAACAAGAAAAAAGCCCCCACACGCACAAAGCTCTTGTACAAGAATTAGTATAGATAGCCTACTCATTACTACAAGCAAACCAAAAAGCCCCCCCCCCCTAAACACAACGATTTTTGTGACAGATTTTGTATAGATGAAGAAATACATAGCGAAACAAAAACCAATGCCTTCTTACACACATATACACGAGCATGCACACGGAGCGCGTCGTATACTTACTAAAAATATTGCTACCCAGGCTAAGCCTATATTATCAAAAGATATGGCCCCTTTGAACGGATTGCTCAGTCCTGGTTGACACTTGCTGTAATACTGGTTCCAATTGACGCACGAAGAGTTGGTCGCTGTGTTATTGCTGAACTGTGTCGCGCTGGCACTGCACACCACGTTGTCTTCCTGCAAGGCAAGACAACGTAGAAAGAGTTAATAGATTTATACACGCACACACGCACGCACGCACGCACGCACGCACGCACTGCACACCACGTTGTCTTCCTGCAAGGCAAGACAACGTAGAAAGAGTTAATAGATTTATACACGCACACACGCACGCACGCACGCACGCACGCACGCACGCACGCACTACGCACGCACGCACGCACGCACGCACTGCACACCACGTTGTCTTCCTGCAAGGCAAGACAACATAGAAAGAGTTAATAGATTTATACACGCACACACGCACGCACGCACGCACAAACGCACGCACTGCACACCACGCTATCTTCCTGCAAGGCAAGACAACGTAGAAAGAGTTAATAGATTTGTCATAGTGATAAATATTTGATTGTTTGTATGGTGACCAATACACGCACGTAAACACGCACGTAAACACGCACGCGCGAGTGTCGGCTGTACAGTGGGGAAGTTGGTCCAATTCGCCAATTCGCCAACACAACGTTGGTAGTGTAAGCCCAGCTTTAATGACTGTGATATCAGCACTGGGCAGCACGCGGAGAGGCGATGCAGGGATCCGTGCAGGCAATCTCGTGTGTCAACAAGCTGTCAGCGTCAGCGTCAGCGTCAAGGCCACGTCAACATCACGCTGAAATGTGACGGCGACGGGGCGCGAAACTAATGGCCGGGTTTACGACATTTTATTCGCAATTCGCAGTTTTCAACATCAGCTTGTGAAAACAAGATATTGCGACGAGGGAATATATCCGCGTGTATACGTATCTGTAGAGGGACCGGCTTCTAAATACTGGCTTAAAAATGTCCGTGTTTTTCGAACGTTATGGTACTACAAGGGCTGTTATCTCGCGCGCGCACACGCGCGCACATACTACACAACACACGCACATACTACAGCACACGCGTGCGCGTACGACGTATGCACGCGCGCGGACACACGAACACGCGCACATACTACAGCACACGCGTGCGCGTACGACGTATGCACGCGCGCGGACACACGAACACGCGCACATACTACAGCACACGCGTGCGCGTACGACGTATGCACGCGCGCGGACACACGAACACGCGCACATACTACAGCACACGCGTGCGCGTACGACGTATGCACGCGCGCGGACACACGAACACGCGCACATACTACAGCACACGCGTGCGCGTACGACGTATGCACGCGCGCGGACACACGAACACGCGCACATACTACAGCACACGCGTGCGCGTACGACGTATGCACGCGCGCG